TCAAGAATTAGAAAAATAAATTAAGTGAAATCAACTATTTTGTAAAGCAGAATATTCTTGTGTGCATCTACACTGAATTGTGCGAAAGTGAAATGTGCGAAACTGAAATGTGCGAAACTGAACTGTGCGAAACTGAACTGTGCGACACTGAACTGTGCGACACTGAACTGTGCGACACTGAACTGTGCGCCTCTCCCTCTTAAAGTAGGGCATTCAAGTCGAATATGTCGCGGAAATATTAAATGTGCTTTATGCGACCGTCGCCATTTCGTGCTTATGTGTCCTGAAGTTGTTAGCGACCATAGTACCCCGCCATCAAACGAAGCAGTCAAAGATGAGAAGACGTTACTCAATCGTACTAGAGGACCTGAAGTCATACTACAGACGGTACATGCGATCATAAGAAACCAACAGGCGGAAAAAATAGTACGCGTATTCTTCGATTCAGGCTCAACCAGGTCGTACGTGTGTAAGGATCTTATTCACGACATGAAGTATGAGCCGATTGGTGCATTGAGACTGAAGCACTCTCTGTTCGGTAACATGTCTTCGGAAATTAAGGATCACAAGAAGTACTTAGTCCATCTGAGCAGTCTGGATGGGAATTATGCCTGTAACTTCAAAGCCTATGACGAGGAGGAGATATGTGCTGAGGTTCCGCTGTGGGATGAACTACCGTGGATGAATGAACTGAAAGAGCTAGATATCCAGTTAACTGACGGACCAGGTGAGTCTGTCCATGCTCAGCTTATTAAAATTCTTATCGGAGCTGATATTGCTGGAAAATTAATGACCGGCAGGACCCAGCAGCTGAAGTGCGGTCTGACGGCCATCGTGACGCATCTCGGATGGACGTTGATGGGGGAAACTCCGAATGCCAGCCAGTGTTGCCGACTTCGCTTCTCTGCATGGCAGTCGAGCGCGTGGAGGGAGTAGAGTGGGGGTAGCCTCAGCGCTCGGCTTACGTCGGACGCGAAGAAGAGCGCGGACATATCTGCTGTCTCTTTCTCTCCACGCCGTGACGCTAGAAGAGCGCGGACATATCTGTTGTCTCTTTCTCTCTACACCGTGACAATGGAAGAGCGCGGACATATCTGCTGTCTCTTTCTCTCTACGCCGTGACGATAGAAGAGCGCGGACATATCTGCTATCTCTTTCTGTCTTATACCGTCAACCGCGAGCCGATGAAAATCATGCCTGGCCGTATTATTCACATCTCGAGATGTCCGCGCTTGTGCTTTTCTATATCCGTTGTCGTACTTATTTATTAAATAAATTTTTCAACTTAATGCAAATGTATTTTATATATCAAGCACTGTAATGTGTGTATGTATAAAAAGAATAAATTAATTAAATAAAGTAATTAAAGAAATAAAGAACAGAAGAAGCGTATATAATAAATGAGTAATAGAAATCCGTTCTTGACCCGCATGTAAACCTTTTTCTTTCCAAAAATGTTGAAATTATACATTAAAATTTATTTTACGCATAATAAATATAAATTGAATAAATAAAGAAATAAAAGGAAACGTAAAAATAATAGGAAGGAAACGTATAAATAATAAAAATTCATTATGCATTTAGGCACCCTTATCATCCTTGCAACGATGACTTTACAGTCTTATACGAGGGTGAATCAAATATAAACCGGAATTCTTTTCGCACCGACAGTGAAGTGAACTAAGAGCAGCGTGGCGTTTTGGCGTTCACTGGCGGGGATGCCCAGAGAACTTTGCACCGCTATAGAACGCCACCTTACCACATGTTCAGGAACTATCGCGATGTCTGAGCGAGAAGTACTGTCGTCCGTTGCGCAACGTATTATAGTTAAATTTCTTACGAAAGAAGGCGTAAAACCATCAGACATTTTGAGAAGACTTCAGGCACAGTTCGGGGATAATACACTTAAAAAGACACAAGTGTATTCATGGCATAAACAATTTTTAGAAGGGCGAGAAGCAGTCGAAAACCGACGTCGACGTTGGTGACCTTCATTTTCGACTGCTTCTCGCCCTTCTAAAAATTGTTTATGCCATGAATAC